GGTAATTTGATAGTATTATTTGGAACAGAATTTTTTAATTAAAATTCATCATAGGTCTTCCTGATATGCTGACATCTAACTTTTAACTAAAAATTCAGTTTCTATCGACTTTTATGCAATTTATGAATTAGAGGATAAAATGTGAGTTTATGCATACTATAAATGCATTGCAATTCAAGAAAATGAAACTGGTATATGCACTTGAGGGGAAAAAACCTGTGCTTTCGTGCTGTGTACAAAGTCTTAAAAATCTAGTTCTGTACATTGATTGCAACCAGATATTTAATAATGTACAAGTTTTAAGATTAAACTATCACATCTATATTAGTTTATATGAGAAACTGTATAGCATTGTGTAAATATGGAGAGGGTAAAAAAAAAATTGGTATGAGTAAATGACAAATTCAGTTATGTTAGAATAAGGTGGGAATAAAACAGCCCTGTTTATTAAAGATGCTAAGAAGAATTTTGATTAGAAAAGTTACAGGCTTTAGTAACTAGTTAGGATTATGAAGCAGTTTTCTACAAATTTCAGGGAGAGGAAAGTTTAATGAAGATTGTAAGTGATGATTTTTATAATTGTTCAAGATTAAAATTTTAGAAAAAGGTACACAATAGAAGTAACCTGTGTTGCCACATGAATTCCAAATTTGTGTTATCTCTAAATTGTAAATACATTGGCACCACCAAAATCCTGATCATATCATTCCTGATTTTAATCAGAATTCATGTTTTTTTTAGGGGGGAGGGGGGTGTCCTTATAGCAAATTGTGTGTCTGCATAATAGACATATAAGCAATGATTTTTGTATCATTAGTAGATTTAAGACTGTCAAGTTTTGCTAGATTCCCAGCCATGTTGATGTTGCCTCTTATGACAACAATGGCAACATTGACACTGCCCCTTAAGAGGGTATTTGCATCTATCCCATCTCCAAAACAAAAAAAAATGTTCTTGCCTAGATTTCTACCGTGTCATTTATAACAATCAAACTGTTGGAGATATAGTTCGTTACCTTTTATGGGCAACAAATTACGCAATATCAAATGTGACTTATTCTTGAGGCCTTCCTCCTACTATTGAAACCGGAATTGGGAAAATGTGTCTGGCCTGGTTATGTATTATCCACACAATAGAAACTCATAGACATTCAGTGAAATAAAGACCAGCATTGTCCTGCTAACAGTTGAACACCACTTAGTAAAGGTCATAATTTACAGAATAATCAGAAACATTACTTTCCCAATGTTCCTTTGAGTCATGTGCAACTTGATAAAATCCTTGGTGAATCTATATTGGCAATGTTAATGATATCTAGGCATTTTTAATATAGCATGCAAAAATGGTATTAATTTTTTTTTTTAACAATTACCTGGCACTTGTGAACTGTTGAATAATAAACTGTTTCCTTCTGTATATGTCAAGTGGTACTAGTGCCAACACTTGCATTATGTACCCTTAAAGGGTTATAACTTGCAAATAATGATGTATCCAAAAGAATAGTAAGTGAAAATACTTGAGTAATGAGAGGTCAGACCTTGCTCACACCCACACAAGAAATACATGACTGTACCCTCATAGGTATTTGAATGCCACAGAAAAAAAGGTACTCTTTCATACTGCTTAGTATAAGTACAGTAAAACAATTGTCATAAGTAAAAATGCATTATTTTGAATACAAATTACTATTTAAACTTCAAAAAAGAGGAAAATAAATCTATTTGCTATTAGTTAATTTATGTGACTAGGAAAAATTATCAATATTTTGTGCTATAGTTTGGCCATGGTTGACTGAGAAAGAAATATCTGCATCCAAAATTTAAAAAAGAAAAGTTATTATATATAAAAGTTATAAAATTTAATTAGTTGCCATAATTTAAATATGGGTGGATATAGAGAGTATTGTAATTATTCTACTCCCTGGGAAATTATGATGAAACTAACTATTTAAAACAAAATATACATAAAACAAATTTGTAAAGCCCAAAACAAACAAAAATAAAGTTTAAAAATTGCATAAAATTGAGAGATTATTTTACTTTGATATCACCTTAAAATGCAAGACATTAGATTACAAATAGTCTATTTGATGGGATGAATCGGGCACACTGGCAAGTATGTTAGTTACTGGAATTCAAATTAAATACAAATTAAATATAGGATGGCAGTTGGAAATAGGATAAAGTGGAATTATTGTAAAAAATTAAATAAAATACATTAAATATATACATATGGAATGGGGAGGTAGTATAGACTGCCCTCTGCATGTGGGAGACACTTTTGAAAAATATTTTACTGTATACTCGTGCCACTTTCTAGCCACAAACATTGTACTTAGAAGTACTTTATTGCATAAAGAAGTGCAGAATGCATCGGTGGTGCCATGATGTAAAAATGTATTTATAAAACTGAGAAGCATAAGGTACAGTACTTTTAAAAAGAGGTCACAAGGTCCGAGCATGACATTAGGCCTCGGCAAACTATTGCAGAGTATCTGCTGCAGTAGTATGGAGCCTGCACTCCAGCTCTCATATAGGCAGTTCAAACTTTTGGTATTTTTAAACATATTTTGCATTACTGAACTAGCAGAGTGAGGATTTGTTTTATACAAAACTGATCATATACTTGTTTTAGTTTGTGTGAAATGTAAGTTTTCCTTGACATCATTACCTCTATTTTCCCACTTGCATGGTGCTTACATTATGGAATGGTAAAATAATGTAACAAAATTGTAGGAAAATTGTGCTCAAAATATTTGGATTGAAAACTTAGCCGAAGAGGAACTACAGTAGTTCAATACCATAACAGCCAAATATTAACAGAAGTACCAAAGTTTTTTTTATGAGATGTGACAATGCACACCTGTTTGCACTCTTATCCTCTTTATTGAAACTTCTCATTATTTATAGGTACAGTATCCCACATTCTCTTACACAAACAATTGGCATGCCTTCTCATTTTGCTACCTCTCAGTGCACTCGTACGGTATATGCAGTGCAGGCAATGAGTCACAATAACATGGCTAAAGTAAGTTGACCAGACCACACACTAGAAAGTGAAGGGACGATGACGTTTTGGTCCATCCTGGACTATTCTCAAGTCGATCGCCTTGAGAATGGTCCAGGACGGACCGAAACGTCGTCGTCCCTTCACCTTCTAGTGTGTGGTCTGGTCAACTGTATATGCAGTCTTTGCTATTTATCATTCAATATAGCATATTCTTTATCTCTAAAAGTCAGACTAGACTACAACTTTTTATAACATTAATTTGTGATTTGGTTTGATTGGCACAAGTTAAAAAAAAAAAAAAAGTGGACATAATTTCAAACAAAATTTTTGCAGAAAAAGCCTTGACTACAAGACTGAAAGTACTTAAAAAGTACATTTATCATTTAATTAAATTAAGAAATTAATTTCAGTATTAGACACCAATCCATCCTGGAATAAAGCTTTTAAAGGGTTTTTACCTTTTCTGCACTAGTTGGCTTAAAATGTTAATTTATAAACATTTAAACTTGTCATACAAGTGTAAGATGTAGCCAACAACAATGATATATATGTAAAACTGATTTCTGACATTGGTATAGGTAATGAAACCAAGTTTATTATCTGGCTACGCTTTAATTTTTGAAAACATTTAAATTCATCAGATGAATGTATATTCAGGCTACAAAAAAAAAATTGTTTTAAAGATTAGCCACGATTGCAAGATCATGCAATGTGCTGGTCATTGTTTTAACACGTTCTTTACATAGTCCACTTAATTGTATCCCCCTCTGCTGCTGTTAATTGTGATTTTTGGGTAAAGTTTATGGTGAATTCTCTTGAAAATGTCACACAAAATTTACTGCCCATGTCATTATATTCAGATTTGAAATGGATACTGTAACCAATTTGTCTAATTGGTGCCATTTGTCGTAATGTGTGGGATAGTTTGTATAACAAGTTTCTCTTGATTACCTAATTTTTGCACTAATTTTATATAAATACAAGCATTGATGGTTTAAACTAAAAGTAATAGATTGAGAAAAAGCTTAATAACATTTTTTAACTGATTAGTATATTGCAAATTTCTCTAGAATTGTGCAATTTATTTATGCTGAAGTTTATGCCTCAAGTTGATAAAATTGCCACCACCTTAAATAACTTGAGAGAGTGTAATTGCTAGTGGTATTGAGAAGCTGTTTGTACTAGATGTTTTTTGTTTTCTTTATCTCCAGTAAAGGTTAAGTGCCTTGGAATGTTGGTTATTCAGTACCAAAGATGATTACTAACGTGGTAAATCACACTAATGAGCAATTCTTTGGTATTAATCTTTAATGAAAGGTACTTGTTGATGAATGTCATAGTACTCCAAAGAATTACTCTTTATATTAATATGCATTAAGAATTTTATGAGTTTTGAAGTCATTAGTAATGTTTATGTAGTTAACTGATCTCAAAGAGAAATGTATGTATCAGTATTTTCATTCTATCTGAGAATAAACAAGATCTAGCATGTACCACAGGCTCTTATGGATATTGTGATGTTAGGAAAGTACAGTAATGCTGTAATTACTAAATACAGTATAACAAAGTACAGTTTGCACCTTTACCTTTATTAAGTCACAATTGTGTGGTTATACTGGTATCACAAATATTTTATAGGAATGTAAATTTAATATTAGTAAGTCTTTTGAATGTGTTATAATAAGTGTTCACTAAGGTTTGTTGATCTCGTACATTTAGCTGAAATTGACAGAAGTAAACAAACTATTTTGTAAGGAGTAACAAATGATTTCAGTAGGACTGTTATGCCATTAAAATTTATTATTGTTTATAGTTCCTTATAATAATATATAGCGAATGTTTCTTGTAAGCTGCCCCTGCTGCTTTTCCAAGGAGTGGATTAGAGTACTCTAGTACATCCTGCATGTATTTTTTTTATTGATAATACATTAAAATGTGGTAGCACAACCACAAGGCTTGCATGCTTATTTGATGTTGAAAAAAAAAATGAATTTTTTTTTGTTTAAGATTTTATTTATATATCTGTTCTATTTGTGTAAAACATGACTGTATATACAGTATTGATGTTGAATAGTTTACAATGACTGACTTTAATATGCAGATTAGATTCACAGGTGTTCTTAGATGTTAATTTCTAACAATGCTCACAACCAGGCTGCCTGCTCTCAATTTAGGGCAAAGTAGATTTTAGTGTTGCAGCAATTTATCCAAAGAATTTGTATTTTAAATATCATGGATTATGACTTTGTTTTTGGATGTTTATTGATAATTCAAAAGAATTTTGCTTTTGTAAAGTTTTGTGCTCAACTGCTGAGCCAACAATGTAAGACCTACAATCAGCAAAGGTTTATTCTATATTTACAATTTATCATGAACATGCAAGTTTTATATTGTTGTAGTACTGTATCTTTGTAAGAACAGTGGGTTGCCCTCATCTTGTACTGGCAATTTGGAAAATTACAGAGCATTTGGAAAGCAAGTTTTTGGACAGGGAGAATGGCACCTTCTTTGCATAAAGCAAAGCAGGTGCCTGTGTGTCATTATTGTGAATACTAAGCTTAATAACATTTATATTTATTGAGTTTTTCCTGATGTCATTTTCTGATTGTTTATGCCTTTAAAGTATATATAATGGTTATTATTTCCCCTCAAACTTTTGTTTGACCTTTGCCTAAGACAGCTTTTGGAAGATATCTTTAAGGTACCTGAAGGCTGCCAATCTAACATAAAATGTGCCACAGCTCTATACGAGTCGGCAGGCTTCAAGTACCTTTAAGACATATTTCCCAAGTTGTCTTGGGCAACGATCAAAGCAAAATTTTAAGGGAAATAATAACCATTTTCTATATTTTAGAGGCATAAGCAATCGGAAAATAATACACAGGAAGTGTTATATTATGAATAAGTAAAAAGTACAAATAGAAAAGAATTTTAAAGTATAGAATGGGAGGCTCAAAGATGTTGGCAAGATATCTTTATAATTTATATTAAAAAGATGATTTATTACTGTATTGCTGATGGACAGATATAAAAGACATTCTGAGAACTATGATCCAAGTCAAATGAGAGGTTTGTAATTGTAGGCTTATAACTGTAAATATTATAAGCAATATTACAGCCGTTTTGATTACAATTATTACACTAGCATATCACTCAATTTTAACTTCCAAAAACATTTGTGGTATATCCAACAGTGGATTACAGTATTGCAAAATGGTTTAATATACCCCATCAGTGAAATGGCAGTCTATAACAATACATGACTTCAGCTTCACAGTGTAATATATGTTCCCCAGGTGTTTCCAGCACTCCTGACTTTCAGTAACTGTTTTCCCTTATTTTATACATAAACCCATTATTAGATGTTAACAAGATCATACAATAATTTAAAGGTATGCTATCTAACCTATCGGCCATTTTTAACCTTATTACATGTTTGTTTTTACTCCATTTAAATTTTGTCGTCTTGGTACTCTACCCAAGAAAATGTTAAATGGTCATAATTAATTATTTACATCTGGAAGGCAGCTCCCCCCCACCCTTTTAAGATTACAACCCTTGTTTGTTTATATGAACTTCACAATTATCTATTGTCATATTTATCGTATTACGTAAATGTGTTGGTGATGGAACCAGAAACTGTTGAAACAACACACATTTTCTGAAAATATTGCTACCTCTGTAATTATAATTTATGCCATTAATTCTTTGTTGTGTTTGTAGTAATATATACTTTTTCTTGCTTCAAGTTTATCCATTTCATATGTTTCCTACATAAAACTAGCTTACACTAGACATTTCTCTTTATATTATAATCCTTATAATTTAATGACCGTTGTGGAAACATTTTATTAAATTAGAATCTCGCTGATAAGATTTTACGAAGAAAAATACCTGTAATAGATTAGCCAAGCCTTCAAAGGGATTCGTTCACGACTCAATTGGGAACTCTGGGTTTGAATCCCGGGCAGGGTTGGGCGCATTTCCTATCATCTAATACCCCTGTTTACCTAGCAGTAAATAGTACCCTAAAGTTAAGACAGCTTGTTATGGGGTTGCATCCTTGGGCAAATAATTTGACATGGGGAGGGGGGGATGTGCCTCAATATAAGGCTAACCACTATAAGATATACCAGTTGCCTGTCCCCACTTGACTTATTAATATTTGTTTAAAGTCCTCGCCCCATCTCCTCATGGGCACTTCCTTGTGGTTGTTTTAGATAAAAGTAATGATCCTGATCTTACCCACATTAGAAAACCAATTTTGGCCCTTCTGACCTCTGCATTGGGCTGCTTTCCTCCACTGACACCAGGTAATATATGATGGTGCCATCACTGATGTAACAGTTACATATGTTATTACAATCTTCTGTAAAAGTGGGTGTGCATCTTAATGATCAAAGCTTGTGAAAAATTCTACATATGGGTTCTGCCACCAAACCTCACTAGTCACCTTTACCCTTCAAATTTCAGCACTGTAAACAGCTAACATGTTGGGAAGCCACCCTGAGATGTACTATTTGTTACTCTTGAGAGGAAACATTAAAAATTTTATAGTAATTTTATTTATTTATTTTTTGCACAGGCTGCTGCTATACTTTTGGCAGCAATCCCTGTAAAGTAACTGATTCTTGAAGAAAACATGTAATTGTATTAATGACAATATTTAAATACCAAATTATGAAAATAAATTAAAATAAATTTAAATTACGTATTGGATGTAATCTGACTTCTAAGCCAGAGAAGATCCAGCCCACTGTTGGACATCTGTTGGTATGCCTGGCAGGTGAGCCAATGCTTCCGTTACCTGTGTTGGGGTCATCATTAGTTGCACAAGCTGGTATTCTCGCTGAATTCCTCGGGAGTTGTCAACTAGTCGCACCAGCTCCAGACACTGTGAAGAGACTACGCGTTTTGGTTTCGATACCATTGTTACTATTGGCTGTATTCCAGTCTTAAATCATTGAGGATGAATACAGTTAAGAAATTTCATCAGGGGAATACAGGAAAATACCTTTTATATGGTGAATTAGGAATGTCACATTACCTACAATGTTCCCTTTATGAACATTATTAAGCATAACAAATTTAATATTGCTACATTACCTTCAGCTGATCAAATGCCTTGAACACAACTGGGCGTTCAAAACTTTGCATCGATGACCTTCGCTGGCTGAATTTTAGATATTCATGAAACACCATTTCAAAATTAAATGGTTCACCTTCATAAATTGTTGTTAAATGCTTCATGGCCACAATCTGGGGATATATTCACTTACATTAAACAAATGCAATAACAAAAACTTATCAAAGTCCATAAATGGACAGCAACAAACCCACATTCAATATATTCATGATTTGCTACATATTGTTTAGAAATAAAGTATTTGATGGCCCAAAGAATGACATTTTTCTTTTAGTATTAATTTAAAATATAACATTTTGTTATATTTTAGTGAAATCATTCACTATCTCACAATGTACACTATTGTAAAGAAGTACAACATGGTTCAGTAAAAAATAAAAATTCCTGCTAAAAAAGTTCCTCACATTTTTGTTAAGTGTAACCAACAACATAGACCAAGGAATAAAGAGTAAAATACTAAAATGGATATATATAAAGAGAAAAAAGGAGAAGATAAAAAGAAAGCATATGATCATTCTAAACAGCAGGGAATCCAATGTGCAAAAAAATGCTGTGAATGGAGTACAGCAGGATTCTATTTTGAAGCCAACCTTTTTGTTAGAGAAAAATCACAAGCCACATCAAATTTGCAGACAACAAAGATCTGTGCTAAGTGGGAAACGAAAACAATATTAAGACCTTGTCAAACATTATGAAATTATCTTCACAAATGGTCAGAAGACGGGCAAATGCTCTTCAATATTGACAAATTCAATGTCCTGTGAGACAAATTTCTGATTTCAAGAAAAGAATTGCAACTCGGCTGTAAATCTTCTTAGTGGGTTTTGCATGTCCGGTACAGTAATGTTCATTCTATTCATACCCTAATTTCCAAATAAACATAATGCCACACTGATATTTTTGTCAGTAATTTTCTCGTGTGCAGAGAAGTGACTTTGCCCTATATTAATTTGTATCCCTGTTACATTTACAGTTCACTACTTTGAGTGGGCAACTTTCTAATCAGTTTTAGTTGTAAATCATTATTACATAACTATGAAGTTTGAAATTAAAACAAGTGATTCTACATGTTCATTCACTCTCATACTCATGAAAACATGGAACATCATTAAGGAACCTCAATTCACAGTCTGATGAAAGAACAACACAACCCTTTATTTAAATATACAATTTTGAAAAGTATTCAACTTTCACTCCAACTGCATATACTATGTGTATAAAATATGATTTAAAAAACAATACAAAATGTAAAGAAAGGCATAAATACCAAACAAAGTTGGAGTACAGAAAGTCCGTGTAGCATGTTAATCTTGGCCTCGGAAGCAACCAGTGACTGGGCCTGCAGGAACATCTGGCCATTCAGCTGTGGCTGCTCACAACTTAGCTGACACACACACAGCAACTAGCGTGGGGGAAAGAGAGAGCGCTTTCTTAACTGAAATTTATTTTATTTTGTACCACTTACCTAACAGACTTTCTATTAATAGTCTAACATTTCTACTCCATTTTAACATCTCTTCTTTCAAGCTAGGAATTACATATATAAAACATAAAATGAAATGCCTTGTTTTAATTTGGGACACCCTTATTCAACTTTGTTGTATTCATCTTTTTCAAGAGTAGCAAATGTTACCATGTTTCTTAGCAAAAATGGTAATTTGCCCAAGCAAAATTGTGTCCCCTAAAGCACGTAATTTCTTAAAATTTACACAAATGAACTGTTTACGATTATTCACGGGCAGGGTAAAGGACAAGAGAGAGCTTAAATCCCGTCCCATGTTACATCGACCCTGGGTCCTGCCGTGGAGGTTCCCGGGGTTGGGGAGGGGTTTCCTAGGGAGGCCTTGGCCCCGTTTACCTTGCTTGGGTTTTTGTGACCTTGGAGTGGGGCTTGCAGTTCCTCAGCGGGATTTTCCTTCCCCCTCTGCATCAGAGTTGGTTTCTGGTCTACCCCTCCCCAGGTTCGGTTCCGTGTCCCTTCGGGTCCGTCGGTTCCTTCATTCCTGTGGTGCTTTTCACCGCTTCTTAACCTTTTTCTCTTGGACATGTACTTTTCTTCATGTCGCAATCATTTTCCCTTCATATTGGGATCCCTGCATCCCTTGGTAAAGGGTGCCATTAGGACCATGTGTGCCTCCGGGCATTAGTGCTTGTTTCTCATGATTCTCGTCGGTTCGCGAAGCTCTCTAATATTTCCAATATTATTGGAACATCTGTTGACTTCCAGTGAGGCTTCCCTCCAGTCCTTTCTCAAACTCGTTGGTCCTCTTCCGTACTACTTGTCTTCTTTCGATTCTGTTTTCGCATTATTTTGCATTCACATCGTCTCTCCTTCCTGTCTCGCCATTCCTAATATTCATTACATGCACCTTGCTGGTGCCCTCCCCGGAAGATGGGTGTGCGATTCGGACCTCAGGCGCAGGGGCCGGGATGATTTTGTTTTGGGCGGTGTACACATGTTGGTGTTCCGCGTCCTTTATCGCGGATTATACGCCATTCTCGCTCATCTTATCTCTCCAATCATAGCCCCGTAGATACTGGGGGTGTTCTGGATTTTATATGTAGGGCAATCACCTTTTCTCTGCTTGCGGGTGTGGGGTGGCTCAGAGTGGTGCCACCTCTACCTCTGTACTACATGCACCTTGTCTTCTCCTACTTGGCATGCATCTCTGGACATACTCCACTAGCGATTCTCCTGGTACATTACATGGCTCAGCTTTGTCGTGACACGGTCGTGTCTCCACTCTGCAGGCGAGATTGTGCCGTCTGGCGACTGTCGGCCAGGCGCTGGTTCTCGCTTTTTGGTGGGGTGTTAGGTATTGTTGTGTGTTTTGCTTGGCCACTTTGCGTACGTCTTACCATGACCTTACTTTGGTAAGGTCATGGTAAGGTAAGGTTTTTTTTTTTTGGGGGGAGGGGGAAACTTTGAAAATTTGTATTAGGAAAACTAAAGATTTTTTGGAAAATATCTAACAACCGATCCTTTATTATATGCTAATGTGTCAGAAAAGTGTCATAGAATAATTATATCTGAAAGGTGTGTTTTTTTATTTAGACTTGAAAATGTGTAAAATTTGTTGAGAAAAAAAAAATCTCCCTTTCTATTTACACTGTAGTACTGAAACTTTGAACAACTGCAGCCCTTTTCATATACAACTAGTCAAAAAATACTGGTTGACATTGAACAACTTTGAGTAAATAATCCAATGCCCCCCTAAAGCTGAACCCTCGAGATGTGTCCACTCACGAGGGCGAAGCAGGGGGTACCACCAAACACAAACAACCCTAGTATAAAGGGGAAAGGATACCAAGGCAGACACTCCCACCAGGCAAAAGCTAAAATAAAAGAAAAACCTCGCAAGAGGACAGCGTACCCAGAGGGAACACAGTCGGCCGCTGTTATAGGTGAAAATTAGCTATGCAGTACCATGCGCTCCTACTAGTGTAAAAACTACCACTTACCACAAGGCAAACAAGGGAGGAATCCCCCATAACACTCGGGGCAATCAGTTGCAAAACAGCGAAAGACCAACAGAGGTAGATCCAAGGTGACTAATGGAAGGTAACCCCAAGCCTCTAGGGCGGTACTTAGAAGAGGGAGCCCTAAGTGCATGCAGCCCGAGTACCTGTAAATATTTCTCCCAGCTCGCGCACCCCCGAAGAGAAGAACTGAACCCAGGCACAGCACAAAGAAAATCTGGAGCTGGAGCCACAATGACTAACCCTAATCTCATCAGCCGAGGAACTGGACGTGTGGATCGCCGGCGCAGGGGTCTGGGGCTCCCCCCTCCCTCTTCCGGGGAGGGGGAGCTGTGCAGACATGCGGCATGGCTCGTGTGACCTCATGCTTGTTTGCTCGATTTCCCTTCGAGTTCTGTCCTCTTGTTTCGTTATTTTCATTGGTTTCACCAGAATAGGGGTTTGTTTTGAGGCGCTTACCTTTCTGGGCGCCTGTCCAGGTCGATGGCAGATATAGATTGCTCCAAAATCACATGTGCATTTCTATATGCCATTGCTCCTCATGCCTTTCTGAGGGGGCCAGGTTCTGGCCATGGTCCCCGGTAGGCCTAGAACTCCACACATTGACTGATGCCAAAAGTTAGGACTATCCCTATCAGCCTGGATAGCTCCGGGAAGCCATAAGGGCTCCCCCCAGAAAAAGGTTTTTAAAAGAGTGGCACATAAGAGGTTGTTCTGGAAACTGGAACATAATGAAGAGGTGACAGGAAAACTGACATGGAGAAAAAATTCTGACAGAAAAATGAGGGCTGATACATTCCAGAGGCAATGTATCAGCAGGAAAATTTTTACAAGCAGTTTACCACAGGGTTCAGTTCTAGCACCAGCAATATTCATCATCTATATAAAAGATTTACCAGTAGGAATACAGAATTATATGAACATGTTTGCTGATGATGCGAAGCTAATAGGAAAGATAAGAAACTTGGACAACTGTCATGCACTTCAAGATGACCTGGACAAAATAGGCCAGGAGCAACACTTGGCTGATGGAATGTGAATAAATGCCCTGTTATGGAATGTGGAATATATAGGCCACACACAACATACAAATTATGTAAGACTTTGAAAAGACTTTGAAGAACTCTGATAAAGAGATCTAGAGTGGTCCTCAATAGAAAACCATCACCAGAGGACCACATAAGAACATTGTGAGAGTCCATGCAAGACTTTCCTACTTCAGAATCACTTTTAAATATATTGATAGCAAAATAATAAAGAAATTGTTAACGACCTTCATGAGACCAAAACTGGCACATGCATTGGCTGAATAGTGCCCATATCTTGAGAAGCACATCAATAAACTGGAAAAGGTGCAAAGACATGCAACTAAATGGCTTCTGGAACCAAAAAACAAAGCTATGAAGAAAGGCTAAAGGTGTTAAATATACCAAAGTTAGAAAATACAAGAAAGGTGATATGGCTACTACAAAATTGTAACAGTAATCTACAAAATTGACAAAGAAGAATTCTTGAAAATTGCGTCTTCTAGAACAAGAAGTCATGGACTCAAGCTAAGGAAACAAAGCTGCCAAAAAATGATAAAATTATCTTTTGCTAACAGAGTGGCAGATGGCAGCAACAATGGTTGCAATTTATACTGTCAAACATAAGTTTTGAATGAGGAAATTAAAATCCTTACCAAGAGAGTTTTCAAAGCTCTAATATCTTTGGTTGTACTGTGTAACCGTTTCAGGACTTTAATTATGTCCTGATCCTCCACCAACAATGTTACATCAGAGTTCCACTTCCTAGAAAAATCCTATGGAAAAATGCAGTGTGAAGTTACATATTTGGTTAGCATTACAAATATATAATTAAGACACAGTATTTCAATATGTTGTCAGATATATCATTTCACTTAAAGATATATTACCATAAAACATATCAAAGACTGATAAAGTTGAATTGCTTGATAATGTTGAAAAATTAATCCTTAAATTTAAAGCATAACAAAGTACTGTATGATTATGTTATTCCTGCATGTTCTTAATAACAATATAAAGTACATAAATTTTACAGTTAAATATTCATTGGAAAGTACTAAAGCATTTAATAGACTACAGAAAACCAAATATAAAATAAGTGGTGGTAATGATAGGTTGTGATGGTAGTCAGTGGCAAACTGGCTTATTGGTAGTTCTGGAAGTAAAGTGTGAGCTAGCCAGTAAGGCCGGAACCATTATAATATCTGACAGCAGTGATGAGAATACAGTGTTTTATTAATCACTTGAAATAACATAGCAATACTGGAGCATTCCTGGTTATGTGGGCATCCTGGGGGACACCCCGCATGACAGTTTACATCCAAGGTTAACAGAAACAGGGCTCGTGCACGAGATCGGTGCACTGTGCACTGCAATGACCCATTCAAGTCAGCTGTGGCAGAATCTTGAGAGACCATACTCTCACAGTTACAAACAACTGAAATGGTAACATTTTCTCAGCTAATTTATTGAGAAGCAGACGAAGCAGACAGTGAATGAAGTTGCGAGGCGTCAGCCACATGTTGCCAATTAGATGATAACTCAGGCCAGAGCTCACCACCACTGACACCACCTGCCTTCCCTGACCCCACTATCACTACCTGCCTTCCCTGACCACTTCCACCACTGACACCACTATCACTCCCTGCTATCCCTGACCACTTCCACCACTGACACCACCTGCCTCCAATAACAACAACTTTCACCACTGACACCATCTATCTCCCATGACAACTTCCTACCACAGTTTTTTCGTTTTCAAGAGTTTTTCGAGGGTGGAACGGATAATTGCATTTACATTATTTTAAATGGGGAAAATCGTTTTGCAAAATGGGCTTTTCACATGACGAGCTCTTTGTCAGAACAAATTAAATTTGTTAACCAAGGCTCCTCTGTATACTGTATTTTGATAAGCTACACCACACACATGCACATGACATCTTATGTAACTACTGTACTGTACATATCAATATCTTTAAAAATGTATAAATAAGAATTACAATTATTTTTTTTACTCAAGATTTTAATATAATTAATGCATCCTTTTACTTCTGGTTTTTTACCTTGAAGAGAAATGAGTCGGGTAACTCCAGTAGCTGCTTGAAGGTATCGAGATAATGTGGGTCAAATTTATCAGCTGGAAAGAGGTGAATCTGACGGTGGGAGAAGCGTGATTTCACCCTCTTCTCCAATAGTTCAATCACATCAAGACGACATGTCAGCCCCAGCACACAAATAGGAGCCTGAGGAATTGATTCTTGTCAAAAAATTAAAAGCCAAATTAAGTATGTCAATAGGATTACAGAGAAGATAAACATAGAAATTAGAACTAATACTCAAGCGCTGCAAAAGTAGATAAGCATTAACCATTAACCACTGTGATGCACCGAGTTTATTGTGAATAGGTACGAAATATTCAAAAAGTATTTTCTCGGTTGGCGCAGTTTCCAACTGATCGAGTTTTCTTGGTTGGCGCAGCACAGTGGTTTTTTTTTTTTTTTTTTTTTTTTTTTTTTGAGATATATACAAGAGTTGTTACATTCTTGTACAGCCACTAGTACGCGTAGCGTTTCGGGCAGGTCCCTGGAATACGATCCCAGCCGCGAACAATCGTTTTTTCATCCAAGTACACATTTTACTGTTGCGTTAAACAGAGGCTACAGTTAAGGATTTGCGCCCAGTAAATCCTCCCCGGCCAGGATACGAACCCATGGCATAGCGCTCGCGGAACGCCAGGCGAGTGTCTTACCACTACACCACGGAGACTAAAGAAGATTTTAGGAAATGTGAAATATTGTACAGTACTGTAAAGGGCTTTCGATACCGAACTCTAGTATAATAGAATTGACCTTTGTCTTTCAATTCTAGATTTGATTCAATTCTTTCAATTCAAAGATTTTTCTAATAGTCTATCCCTACCTGTGCAGATTGGGCAACATCAAAGAGATTGTAGAGGAGAGTTTGATTACGATGATGGCAAAATAGATCAAATTCATCCAGGATGAACACGACAGGTTTGGACGTTTCCTTACTGCCAGAGCGGAGAGATTCCAGAAGGAAGGCCAAATTTTCTGGGGATAGAATTGTCAACCTCTTAGCATCTATTAGAGTCCTGTATGGAATATTATTCTTGGTGTTACCAAGTCAATCTAATAAGATACAGTAGGTCTATAACAAATTGGGTGAAATAAACCAACCAGAGACTGGGGAATAAAACAGAAAAAAACAGCGTTGAATGTAATGAAATGCCATTTTCTGGGCGAGGCCCGGAGAGCTATCCGAGCTGATATGAATATATTAAGCCCTGGCATCAGTCAATGTACATGGAGTTCTAGGCCTACCAGGGACCACAATCCAGAACCTGGCCCCCCCTCAGAGAGGCACACAAGGAGCAATGGCCTATCGTAACCCACGTGTGGTTGGAAGCATTCTGTGTCTGCCATCGACCGGGTCAGGCACCCAGAAAAGTGCAACAAAATAAACCCATATTCTGGTTAAAATATTGCTACTGAAAGCCGAACTAGTGGACAGAAGTCTAGAAATGAAAACGAACACGATGTTACCACACCGCTGTCTGCGTAACCCCCCTCCCTCCCCGGGAGGGGAAAAGGGAAACCCCCAGACCCCCCGTGCCGGCTATCCACCCCTGCAGTTCTGAGGCTGGATTTCAAAACACATGAAAAAGCACCGACTGGAGGGAGGGAGGGCTGCCAGGGAGCCTCCGGGTCTCACGCAGAAAATGGGGTTTCATTACATTCGATGGCAGTTTTCTACGGGAAGCCCCTTTGGCTCCCTGGAGCTACTTACCCAAAGACAAAATAAAAAGGGACTTACCTGGGAGGCGGTCAGCCCTCGCTCCTCAACCAGAAGTCGAGATAACTGGCTGCATCCGCCGACCCAATGCAACACAGGTCTGACTAGGCCCAGGAAGATTAACAAGGTAGCAAGCGGCCAGGACCCAGTTCAACGTCCAAAAATCCCATGCCCGAATAGCAGTCCATGACATGTTACCAAAAGCGGCAACCAATGCAGCAAACTTACGAACATTATGGGCATGAGGATAGACCGCAGGCCAGCTGGACCGAATAACCATGTGGACAACATGGGAGACCTGAACCCTGGAACAGGGAAGAAAGCAAACCGGATCAACCCCAAGCGCGTCCCCGGCCACCGAGGCCGTGGTGCCCAGGTAACAGCTGATAGCCGCAACCGGACAACAAATGACGCACCCCCGGCCTAACCAACTAAGAATCAACAACCCAAGGACCCCCTCCCCCTCCAAAAAGGAACAGTCTCATTCTTCGCCAAAAAAGAAGGAGACAGCTGCAACCAAATAAACTTACAACCAGAACCAAAGGAGCAGAAACCTCTGTGCCAGAGGAGAGCATGAAGCTCGTTGACCTGAACCCCAGAGGCCAATGCCAACAGGAAAAAGAGTTTTGGAAAAACAATTCTGAACCAAAAGGGCCACCACAAACCAAAGAGAAGAGAGAAAGGAGAGCACCCAGTTCAATGACCAGGACAGCTCAGGCGGCGCAAGAGCAAGCCAGAGGTGAAACCACACACGAGACAGCTTGCTGAACGGGGCAGATGTAACAAACACCAAATGCAAGCTGCAGCGGTTCCGCTAGTGCCGCACGATACGAGGCGAATGTATTCGCCATAAGATGACGGTCATGGAACAATCACGAAAGGAAGGACAAGATAACCCTAACAGAGACGGTAGTAAACCTATGCAGGGACAAGAAATAACAGAAGGACCGCCAGGAAACTTCACGTTGCCACCGAGACGAAGCACGCAGGTGGGACACCATCAATGAAGCCACCTGCACCCCATACAAACGATGATAGACTCGAATCAGAAAGCCCAGACGTGAAGCCTCGAAGAGAGGAGCGAACCAGCCACATAATGGACTGGACCAATTTACTGAAAGAGAAGAGCCGCGGGAAGACCCTTGGGTTCGGACACCGAGCAAGCAGCACCTGAAACCAAAGCTGGGCCGGCCACCAAGGGGCCAGAAGAACAACTCTCCCTTGCTAAGCCTCCAAGTGAGCTAGGACCTGGAGTAACAGCGGAACCAGGGAGGGGGGGGAAGAGGTACAGGTAACCCTATCTCACCCAGTCCAGCCTGAAGGCATCGACCCCAATGGCCTCGCAGTCGGGGATGGGCGCCACACATACCGAGAGATGCCTCAACCACACCGACGCAAAGAGGACCACTTCCTGAGGCCTGTACGTCCAGCACAGCCAACTGAATGAGTCGGCATGAACCATCCATTCAGTGGACAGAAGAATGAATCGAGACAGCCTGTCTGCCAGGACGTTGGACACCCCCCAAATGTGAACTGCTTAGAGAGCCAATCCCCGAGAACTCAGCAGACGAGTCACCCGAAGCTACCAGCCCCAAAGAGCCAAGGACCGCATCAAAACCCCACGGTTCAGGCAATGAACCACCAGGGAGCCGTCCGAATGGAGCCGGATCAGTAATCTGCGAGTGACCCGTACCCTCCGAAGCGACATCCACACAGCCGCAAACTGCCACACCAACGCAAGGCTCCGAGGCCGAACCCAGCGATCACGAGAGAAGCAAAAGGGACGTCCCTCAAGGAACCAGAACAGTCGACAAAGCCAAACTCGACTCGGCGGGTAGGCCATCACGGCAAAGTTCAGGCTCCCGCACAAACCTTCAAGCAACTGCCGTGTGACCAGGGAGCCCCCTAGAAAAGGGCAAAGGCAGGACCACAGTCAAAGCAGAGTCTCCAGAGGGGGAGAGACAAGGAAGCAGTCCTTGTCTCTTGTGAGCAGAAGCTTGTGAGCATCCCACACAAAGCCCAGCCAAACCAAACCCGAGAAGAAACCAGATGGGACTTCCTCCAGTTCACCAGGAATCCGAACTCGGTGAGCTGAGAAAGAACCAAATCCCTGGCGAGCAGACACGTGTGACAGGAAAGTAAAAAATAGTGACACCATATCCCGCAGGATCGGCGCACACAGCTTCAAAAGAGCAGGAGACATCCCACTGATGAGGCCAATGCACAAGAACTGGGAGTGGGCCCAAGCGCCTCCACATCCTCCTCGAGCCAGTCCAAGGACAGCTCAAGAAGGGAAAAGAATCGTAAGACCGAAGCCAACAGGGCACGGGTGCGAAAATCCTCAGCGACCAACAGCAGAAAGGGAAGAAACCTGCACGTGAAGCTGCACCACACTGACATCCCAAGAAAGGGCAGGGGCAAACAAGCACACATTGAGCTGCTCAAACTCACCCCCAGGAAAACCTGAACCACCATATGAGCCTCATGCCAAACACGTGGAACCGGCAGAACGTATGCCACGCCTCCAACGAGAAAAAGGGGCAGTCCGCAAGCCAGGACAGCTCCGGCACCTCATAACGAACCCAGTAGAGACAGGAAGATCCATACATGAAAGAAGAAGGATCCATTATGACGGCATAATGACGGTGTCATGCAGGAGGTAAGCCATAGTGGCCTAAAGCACCACATGGGGGTGGGACGTGGGAGGTCAAAAACCTCCGGAAAGATGGGACTGAAGAACCCGAACCCACGGGATTACGGTCCGAACCCGGGGAGGGGTAAACGCCAAATCCAACTCATACGAGGATGAGAAAGAGAGAGAGAACCCCACGCCTTGTAACACCAAGCCCTGCTCAGAGGGTACAAAAACAAGTGGGGTCAAACGGGGACCAAGGCCCCCAAGTCAACCCCTCCCCTGCCCCGGGAACCTCACCATGAGGACCCGGGGCTGAGCCGTCCTCCAAACCCCCTTACCTCAAACGAAAAGGCAGGAGCAGCCGAAAAAACAGGAACGAAGGGGGCCCATGGTCAGATATAGAATAAGAGGATCAGGTTCAAATGCCTTCGTCACAAACCCAGAAGGGGCAGCCCCTGAAACGGCCCAAGTTTCAAAGCCAATTAAACCCTGCCCCATCTCCGAACCCCCTCAAGACACTTCAGAGCCGGAAGCAATTGGGGAGGACCAGGACGAACAGCAGAAGGGGAAGGACAAGGGGGATGCAGAAAGAACCAAAGTCGAGGCGACAAACACCCCTCAAGTCCAGGTCCCTATAACCAAAACGGTTCAGTCTCAGGGCACTTGGGGAAGCAACTAACCTAGCGCATTGCAGCAACCTAATTCGAGCATGCAACACCGAAGCTGTCTGCACCCACATATCATGATCAGTGGACTGGGTGAACTGGAGCACAATCAAGGAACACAACTTGCAAGACTCCGGGTCGAAAGTGTCACCGACCCAACAAGCTGCATGATGGAGGCACAACCTGTGTCACCCTGAGACAAGGGGACAGAGCAACCTTCAAACTCGCACGAAGCGAAAAAGGACCCAAGGGTCGCGCCCATTGGACCAGAGAGCCCCCGCGGGGTTTCCCAGGTCCCTTAGTCGCGTTATCTTGCTAAAGGAAGCCCAGGCAGGGTACTGCTAACCGGCGCCCAAAAACTACCAAGCAAACTGCTAAAGCTGAACCCCCGGGACATGTACACTTGTGGGGGCCTAGCGGAGGACCACCAAAATACAAAGGGCATGACCACAGCAAGGGGGCAGGCCCCCACCAGGCAGGCAAACGAAAATGAAAAGAAAAACCTCGCAAGAGGATAGCGTGCTCAGGCGGAACAGAGCCGGCTGCTATGAGAGGTGACAATTAGCTGCACAGCATCCTGCGCCCGAACCAGTGATGAAAACTACCCCACTACCCAGAGGCAAACGGGGGAGCAAGAAACACCCCAGCCGACTCCAAGGGCAGTCAATCACCCTGCAGCAATAGACACAGTGGAGGCAGATCCCAAGGTGACTTGTGGAAAGTAACCCCCCCAAGGGCAGTACTTACATGGTACCTAAGGAAGGGAACCCTAGGCTCATGAAGTCCGAGTAATGGAGAAAGTACTCATGGCTCGCATACCACTGAAGAGACAGCACCACACCACAAGGCACAGAACTGGAAAATTCTGGAGCCAGAGGCACACAATCTTGCCAGTTCCACATCAGCCACAGAACTGCAGGGTGAATAGCCGGCACAGGGGTCTGGGGCTTCCCTTTCCCCTTCCTGGGGATGGGGGGGGGTTGCGCAGACAGCGGTGCGGTGGTGTGGTGACGTTATGCTCGTTTACTCGTCGCCTTTTGGGGAGAGCTGTCCACTAGTTCGGCTTTCAATAGCAATATTTTAACAAGAATAGGGGTTTGTTTTGGGGCACTTACCTTTCTGGTTGCATGACCCAGTCGATGGCAGATATAGAATGCTTCCAACCACACTGGGGTTTCTATAGGCCACTGCTCCTTATGCCTCTCTGAGGAGGCCAGGTTCTGGCTCATGGTCCCTGGTATGCCTTGAACTCCATGCACAGTGACTGATGCCAGGGTCTAATACATACATATCAGCCTGGATAGCTCCAGGGAGCCGAAGGGGCTTCCCCCCAGAAAAAAAACAGAAAAGAAAGTCATCAAAATATTAAACTACCTGAAATTTTTGTAATTACTGCACTAAAATTTTGATAATGCAATAAATGAGCATCGTGTGGATTATAATAAACACTTGCGTTGTTTATCAGCTTATTAAACTTTGCTACAGTACTCACATTGCAGACCAGTCTATACTTTGAGGTTATCTCGAGATGATTTTGGGGCTTAGCGTCCCCGCAGCCCAGTCCTCGACTAGGCCTCCTTTTTGTTACACACCCCCAGAAAGCACCCCGTAGCAGCTGTTTAACTCCCAGGTACCTGTTTTTACTGCTAGGTAACAGAGGCATCAAGGTGAAAGAAACTCTGCCCATTTGTTTTCGCCTCACCGGGGATCGAACCCGGAACCTCAGGACTACGAATCCAAAGCGCTGTTCACTCAGCTGTCTGGCCCCACAATGACAACCTAATGACAAACCTACAACAATTACTGTACAGTATAGCCAAGATGAGATTTAATTCACATGAACCAATCATATTTCCCTTTACCAAAGTTCTCGATGCATGCAAAAGTATTATTTTAAATGTTTAAATAAAATGTTTAAATTATCATATATTTATACCTTTACTAGAGCTATACATTAATGTCAAAGATTTTTTAATGCAAACATAAGGTTACTTATTAGTTCACTAAGGACATACCAGTACAAAAAGCCATGCTGGCCCAGATTGGAATTCACAATGAGCCTTGAGGGAAAGGAGAAGAATATAGCCCAAGGAATTAACCAAATGACCAGCTCAGAAAGTAGCATTTCAACTACACTTAAATGGAAGTTGTAATAATCAAAACTTAAAAAGACACAGGAACAATCATACTTCAAGGTAGTAAAATATCCAATATAAAAGCCATACTATCAATCATAACGCATTTCAAAATCAAACACTACTGAATATCTCTCAACTAACCGGCAAAGGAGCCAAACACTTTATCAGCAGTTGCATTCTCTAGTTTCAGTTGGCGTGTAATCTCTTTGAGCGCTAGCCTGTCATCAGTTTGAAGAAGTCCAGAGAGATTGACAACCATTCCCTTGCTCAGTGTACCCAATACCTCCAGCCTTTCTAACACCGTTTTCACTAGCTGCAATGAAATCACAGTAATATCACTAAAATTCTGGGAATGAATATTATGTACAGTAAAAATATATAAATCTTACTTCAATCTCAAGTACAGGTAAATATGGTAGATCACCTCATAAGTACAGACAGTTGTTATCCCAGTACAGTGGGGCCTCGATTTACGGTGGTAATCCGTTCCCAGAGACGGATCGTAAGTCGAAGCGATTTTTCCCATAAGAAATGTAAACAATGTTTTCCCATAAGAAATAAACACAGGAGTAAACTGATCTTTCATAGGCTTGTGTCCGGGCAGATTTCTTCTCCTTGGTAATGTATGTTTTCTTCGGCAAGCTTTTTCCAAAATAGCCCTGTCTCGTCACAAACACTTGTTGTGGTAAATATGCCTCACTGCACAAAATCTTTAAATTAGCTAATAAATCTTTCAGCCACTGGTTTGTTTGAGCTGACACCCTCCCCATGCCTCACAACACTATGAATGCCACTTCTTTTTCTAAATTTCTCAAACCATCCCCTGCTTGCCTTAAACGCTTTCACTTCTTCATCACTGAATCCAGGGGTTTTCTTTATAAGACCTTCATGCAATTTTCTTGCCTTTTCACAAATGATGGCCTCTGAAACACTATCACCTGCTAACTCCTTGTTGTGTATCCAAATTAATAACTGTTCAACATCAAGTGTTTGTGATCTACGTTTCTTGATTATTGCTACGCCTTTTGCCACTTTAGCACTCATAATGTACTTTTCCTTAGCAAGTATGGTGGATATCGTTGACTGAGATTTGTTGTACTGCCTAGCTAGTTCAACAACCTGCACACCATCTTCATATTTATGAATGATCTCTTGTTTTTGCTCTATGGTCATCTTTACATGGGTTTTCATATGTTGAACCTTACCACTGACTTTCTTGGGACCCATGGTGTGATATATAATACTGTAATCAGTTTTATGTTCAAAAAGCAAAAAATCATCACAAAAACTGAATTTCTTATAGGCGTGATCGTCACTAAGTGGGCGGCTGTAGTAAACCGAAGCAGGTCGACCCATGTGGCCTGGAACCACGTGCTTGGTCGACCCAAATGTGTACCAACAAATATCGTTGGTCAACGACACTATCGTAAGTCGAGTCGCATTTTTCGATCAAATTTACATCGTAACTCGAAATTATCGTAAGTCGGGGCAATCATAAGTCGAGGTGCCACTGTACTTGGCTGGTCATGCTCACACAAATTCCTCTTCAGAGTGCGTACAGGAAATTTGCTTTCAATTACTTTTATATTACTAAACCATTGTAATGTATAGTGCAGATAATCATCCAATCTAACCACAACACCTCAGCAACATGTCAATCCATATTTATGGCCAAAACGCTGTGAGTATTAGTGGCTTTAGGCATACTGTATACTTGCTATATCTAGAAATCCAACATTCTTCTTGTAACTCATTTTGTATGTACGTACTTTCCCTATACTGTACTGTATAAACATTATTTTTATTGAACAAATCCACAGGAGCCTTGATGAGGGTTCGAACCTATGCGCTGAGTGTTCCCAGATGCGCTCTAGTACCACGACATGGTCAAATGAATTGCAATCTGGAGTGCTACTCAGCGCATAGGTTCCAACCCTCATCAAGGCTTCTGCCAATTTGTTCTTTGATATATCACGTTAATGTGATTTCTCTGTGTATTATTATTAATCCTTTTGGATTTTGGATTATACAGGGCAGCTGCTATTTACATCCAAAGCAACTTTCAGATCATCTGAAAATGTACATACTGTACATATGCCTATACTGGTACTTAATTTTAAGATCAATGATGTTGAGACTTGTGAAGCCGCTCTTCATTAAACTCAAAACTTTTATTAAAATGCAATTTTTTTTCTGTCATCAGTATGGAATGTCTTAATTCTGTAATATCACAGCTGAAGAATTATTCCAAGATTGGTACTTTTACATAATTTTATGGAAGACCAAATAACTCTAGCAAAAAATTAACTTACAGAAGATTTGCCAGTGCCTCTCGCAGCAAGCACAAGAGCAGAGTTACTTTCTCCTAAAGAAAGTGTTCTTGTCATAAGCTCTTCCAGATGCTGTCTCTCAACACTATATAAAGAGGCTATTCTCTCACCTGTAATAGAAAATTTGTTGCATTAAGCTATCCTAAAGTTATTCATTGCATTTGCTATATTTCCAATAAAACGGCAGAGAACAAAATATTAATTAAACGAAGTCAGTTTGCAGAGAAATACTACAACAAAAAGCAGAAATGATGAGCAAGTTTGCATGTTAACACAAAAGTTGCACTAATGAACATGGCTTAATATAGCAACCTGTCCCCTTACAAAGAATGTCGCATTTCAATTGTATGCATTACACCAAGGCCAAAAATTGTCATACTTGAAAATGGAAGCGGCTTGCGAAAGTGACGTACTGTCCCTGTTTTCTGATAGGTTAGGAGAGGATACTTTAATCTGACCGTTTTCTTGACTGTGAAACCTTAGGAGGACGGGCTGAGTATAGAGCAGTTTCAGAGGGAATCACTTAAATTTGTTGGGACAATTCACAATGTGTGCTTTACACTAGTTTATGAAGTTGGGGTCCAGTTGTGGACAACTGGTTTCCCATTGTCGAGGACAAAGAGCCTGTTAGGCTTATAGAGGTTTCCCAAGGCCAACGACTGGCTTCTATCTGGAGCCAGTAAGAAAGACACAAAGAAAGTAGTGACAATTAAACCCATAATAGTTACCCAACTCCCAGCACCCATTTACTGCTAGGCAGAGGCATTGGGTGTAAGAAAATGTGCCCAAACATCTCATCATGCATGGGAATTGAAGTGGAGACTATCTAGTTGTGAGCCAACTGCACTATACATTGTGATACTACCAAACATTAAAGATACAGTAGAAACTCGATTCGACATACCCCGATTCGGCGAATCTAGCAGCTAGGTCGCACACTTTTCAGGCAGGATTTACTCACCCGTTTCGACGTACTCTGGTTCGCCGAAATAGGGGACGTGCGGATTTGCTTACAATGTTGGGACAGGTTGATACCTGGTTGATGGGGTTCTGGGAATTCTTCTACTCCCAAGCTTGTGAGAGCTTGGTCCACCAGGCTGTTGCTTGGAGCAGCCCGCAGGCCCACATATCCACCACAGCCCGGTTGGTCCAGCACTTCTTGGAGGAAACAATCTAGTTTCCTCTTGAAGATGTCCATGGTTGTTCCGGCAATATTTCTTATGCTCGCTGGGAGGGTGCTGAACAATCGTGGACCCTCTGATGTTTATACAGTGTTCTCTGATTGTGTTGTGCCTATGGCACCCCTGCTCTTCACTGGTTCTAATCTGCATTTTCTTCCATATCGTTCACTCCAATACATTGTTATTTTACTGTGTAGATTTGGTACTTGGCCCTCCAGTATCTTCCACGTGTATATTGTTTGATATCTCTCTCGTCTTCTTTCTAGTGAGTACATTTGGAGGGCTTTGAGACGATCCCAATAATTTCGGTACTTTATCGCATCTATGCGTTCCGTATATGTTCTCTGTATTCCCTGTTTCCGCAATCTTCTGTGTTCACAAGTTCACTCTGTAAACAGAGTTCACAGAGTGGTGGAAAACTTTCCCATTTTATCGCAGGTTACAATTAATAATTCCTTCATATGGCAAGCTGCATCACACAAGTAGACCTCACAAGTGAACTATATTAACCAAACACCAGTGAGACTGGTTCACACAACAAGCAAACTATATTAACCAAACACCAGCCAGAGTGGTTCACACAAATGAACAACCGAGTTTTCGTGATTTTCGTTCACTGATAAGTGACACACGTAACTTTGTAAATTAATTTAAAGCCAAAGCGTGAATAGCTGGCTACATGAGGTGAAATCTCCTTACAGACATTTTCTGTGATGAAACAATATGAGTGAGTGTAGACAGATAAGGGAATACTGTACTGTAAACCTCACTTGGTTTTCCTTCATCTGTGTTGACATAGTTAAGTGACTTTGAAAGTTTCAGATTAATAAATCATTTCTAAAATCAGTGTTTTAATAGCTCTTTATTGTCCTAATTATTTAAAAACTAAATAAAACCAAAAATATACTGAAATATGATAGACATCTGCTATTTGAGAAATGATTTATGCTATTGGTACAACAACTCCAGCGCGAGTAAACGGGTCTAATCCGTGTACACACAGCACTATGCGTGTTTCGTTCGATTCCGTCGCCACAGTTCAGTGACCTACCACCTCGAAATAATAAAATTAATAAATCGGTTCTAAAATAAGTATTTTTTATAGTTCTTATTATCCTAATAATGTTGATAAAATAAATATACAGTATAACCCAAAATTATATATGATATACTGTATATCCAATATCTGAGAGAAATTTGTTACTGGATCTGGTTTAAACTTCAGCCTACTGTAGGGTGTTAAACCTAGTTCCTCTGTATTAGCCGCCCATTCTCCTACCCAAATCCACCCACATCACCCGATGAATAGCCGCCCACCCATACCTCCCGCCCAAATAGCTTCCCACCCACACTGCCCGCCCGAATTACCGTCCACCCAAATAGCCGCTCATCCACCTGCCCAAATCCATCCACCCTGCCCGAATAGCCATCCACCCACATCGCCCATCCGAATAACTACCCACCCACACTGCCCGCCCAAATAGCCCCATATCCTCCTGAAAGCCTGCCTGCCAGTCAGCCACCAATCCATCCATGATGTGATTGATGTTCAAAGATGAACATTCCAGATTTTCAAGCTAGTGAAGATTGGTTGGAAAGATTTAAGTTGGTTGAGATTAGATTTAATCTAATCTAGGTTGGAAAGATTTAAGTTGGTTGGTTGATTTAAGTTGGTTAAGTTGATTTACGTTGGAAAGATTTCAGATTTACAGTACTGTACAGACCCTGCGGACTTAATATTAAGAACAGAAAAATTGTCGGAGAATCATTAAGCAGCCGAAACCAACCAACATCAGCAGCGAGCACCAGCAAAATTGATGCAAACATCTAGAACACCGTGTGAGGAGTGTACAGTTAGAACAAGTGTTAAATTTAGGTACATAGTGTTAAAGTGTTAAAATTGAAGTTGCAGTAATTTTAGTGTACAATAGTTTTCATAAACTGTATTGTAGTACTCAACATACAGTAGAACTACATAATCAATACAGTGCTAATGGCATAATACAGTACTGTACGTATTTACTGTATTTATAACTGAGAATTCAAGATGGACATACTCCTACAATAAGGTAAATAAACCTATAATAGTATTTTTTAGTTGAGTAATAATATATAGGTAAAGTATATAATAAGAAAATGCATTTTTATTGTGTACAAGAAAAAAATAAGACTGACACAAACGCCTCCTGAAGGTTACCTCTTGCAATGAATTCAACTCTGCAACGAACCGGGGTTGGTCCCATATAGTTCGCCGAATCGAGGTTGTACTGTACTTTGAAAAGCCATTGTCACTTTGAATTTCTTTAATCCCTTTTCTATCACACATGAAAAATGAGGACTGGAGCAATTAGGAAAATGAAATTGTGAAGCTCAAAGCATGGCGCACATTTAATACACAGGTACTGACAAACGATATTTTAGTATTTATAGCTAACAATGACTTGAAGAAAAGTCTCAATATATTATTCAGAAACACAGCAAACAAGCAAAGAAGAAATCTCAGGACAGAACCTTGGTGCATTTCCCTTATGATTTTCCACTTTAAATTAACTTCACTTATGTTAATCCTTCAATTCATTTAAAATAACAATGCCCTAATTCAACACTGGCCAGACACTGCCAATACCATGCTTCTCTAACTTCCTAAAGAATCTTAATGAGGTATAGTAACAAAGGCTATGCTAAATTCAATGTTAAGAATATCACAATCTTCTCCATATAAATTACTTGAAATTATGACAAAAAGGAAACAAAATTGTTAAATTCGAGCAGTCCTTTGTAAAAATCATATTGATGTGAACCTTATTAGTGTAAAAGGTACTGAAGATATTTCCTGCAATCAGCACACTTTACAATACAGTAATGTCTTTATGATTAGTATGTATATCTCACCAGCATTCTTAGTTGTTCCCCAGAGTCGAAGATTTAGACGCAATTGCTTTTGTACCGCCATCATGGTGTCGAGGTCTGATCGAACAGGTGATCTTTGTCGCTTCAGACCCATTGTTACACGTTGTGAAGACTATGTAAACAATACTGTAGGTGGATTCTGAAATTTAACAAACTTAAATCATCCTCATTACTCCACTGCTCAGTGGGGGCATCGGCCTGAAAAAAATGGGATGCAGTACGTATATGTAAAGTCACAAAATATTCAAAATAACACCCATTCATTTACCATATCTTACATCCTACATAGCACCATTGCCTACCTATGCACTAAATGATTTACTGTATTTTGGTGCTCGCCTTGTGATGAATATACAACATGAAATTTGACTGGGTTACAGTATTGGCTAGGCAGTGATATTTCAGCATACTATACAGTATTTTCATAAGGAACAGTTATTAGATCTTCTGTTTATTTAATGGGCTGGGAAACTGATTTCTCAACCTTCCTCAAACACACTCAAACGTTTTGTGCATAATCTACATGGTAAATGCTCCAACTTTTAATAATGAATCAATATCATAATGTCAGAACTCCCAAAACGAAAATTAACAAACGAGCATGACGTCGTCATGTTGCCATGCCGCTGTCTGTGCAACCTCCCCCCTCCCCGGGAGGGGGAAGGGGGAGCCCCAGACCCTCGCTCCGGCGATCCACCCTTCAGTTCTTAGGCTGGATGTCAAAACAAGCGAAAAACACAGCTGACCGGAGGGAGAGAGAGTGCCGGGGAGCCTCTGGGTCTTGCCCAGAAAATGGCATTTCATTATATTCAACGCTGGTTTTCTGAAGGGAGCCTCCGTCGGCTCCCCAGAGCTATCTCACCAAAGATAAGAAAAAAGAGAGAAGGACCCAGGAGGCAGACGCCACGTGCCCAAAACTCGAAATCAAGATACTGTAACTGGCAAAACTGAAGGACCCTGCAGACGACCCGGGAGACCTGAACCCTGGAACAGGAAGGAAGGAAGGAAGGGAACTCAGGCAACCCGAATCACATCCATGGCCACAGAGGCCATGACGCACAGATAACTTCGGATAGCTGCAATCGAACACAACACATGATGCACCCCCAGCCTGACGAACCAAGCATCAACAACTAAAGGACCCCTCCAAAAAGCAGCAGAACCAGTCATCGCCAGAAAAGAAGGAGACGGCCGCAAACAAACAAACCTACCACCAGGACCAAATGAGGAGAAAAACCCTGCGCTGGAAGACAGCATGAAGCTCCCCAACCCGACCCCCAGAGGCCAATGCCAACAGGAAAAAGAGACTTAGACAAACGATCCTGAACTGAAGGGGCCATGACAAACCGAGGAGGAGAGAGAAAAGAGAGCAAGTCCAACGACCAGGACGGCTTAGGAGGCGCACGAGCAGGCCAGAGGGAAAACAATGCACAAGACATCTTGCGGAACGGAGTAGAAGTATCATAATACTAAATGCAAGCCACAGTGGCTCCACCAGTGCAGCACAATACGAAGCGACAGTATTCGGCATAAGATGACGGTCCTGGAACAACCACGATAAGAATGACAAGACAACCTATCAGAGACCTATCAACCTATCTAAAACAACAACAACATATCCACCGCTGCCCACTGGATGGGGGACTGTGTGCAGGACAAACATATAAATTGTGACACTAGCTCTCCACACATGTCAGTTGCTTAATTTAGAAACTGTACTTGTGGTCGGTCTCGAGCCCATTGATGATGTGATATGCATTGAAATTTTAACTAGCTCATCAAGATTGCAACTTGCTTAGCTAAATGAATTGTGGGGTTCAATCCCTAAGCTCATTATGTGCCTCTATAACCCTTTCCACTACCACCCACAAGATGGGTATGGGGTGCATAATAAATGAACTAAATTAAAACACTTGTGGCCTCAATGAGGACAGGAAATTTGCAGCTTGCGAAAGGTCCCCTACCCCATTTGCCAAATGTAAATAAGCAATGGAGACTAGCATTTAAAATTACAGTTTTCATCAGAATGATGATCAATCTCTGAATACCATCTCTGGCATTCACAATACACAAGAACCACTAATACACCTAATTATTCATGACTGACAAAATGTGCATTATTCAAATGCAGCATTTTATACAATGTAATTGAGTCTAAAGCATGATCAAGCAAACATCTATTTCTAAAGGGTATAATAATATGATAAATGTTTCTAGGTTGGTTTGGTCTGGTCTGGTGTTGAGCTTAAGACCTATTAACACGTAATGGGTTATTAAGTTCACCACAATAATTTTAGTGACTAGCCAACTAGTATACCTTACTATATCTGAATTATGTTCAGGATTATAAATATACACTCGAGAAATTGAATACCTGAATTTACCTGAGGGACACATCTCACTAGTGGCCTCGACGAGAACAGGAAGCCGGCGGTTTGCACACTGTTCCCCCCATTGTTCTGATACACCTTTTAGAGTATGTCATGACACGATTACTAATTGTACCTAAAATCTGAAGAGTTTATAAAGCCTAGAATTACGATCAGCGTTTTGCTCGATTCGGCCCTGGACAAGTTTAACATACCAATATACGAAATAACCAGTTAACGAACTGGCAGACTTGATTGGTAGGTTGTCGGAGTTGGACGACTAGTTGGTTGAAACCTGCCAGCTTAGTTAATAAAGCAATTTTTGTTGTTATGATGATTACAGGGCGACGACGACCCGAAGGACTCTGGGAAGGAGCGAGCGGCTCCCAGGGTTGCCACATACAAATTGCTGAAAGTAGCGAGCTGACGGTCTAGAAGTAGCGAATTTGTAATAAGAGTAGCCCAATTTTTTGTTTACTGACTGATACGGGTTTCAAAGTACAGTACTAATATATTTTGATATATAGAGTACACTACACGATGTTAATTTTTATTAATATTATTTCTGCACACACACAAAAAAAAAAAATATATATATATATATATATATATATATATTAACCTAAAAGGGGTACCACCTCTGGTGCAAGTGTAGGGACCCATAGCCTCGGAAAAGAACATAAAGAGTACCCAGAGAAGACCTTGTGGGATCCTCACTGAACACTTATATTTTCTTCTCCTACCACCCCTATTCTTTTAGCATGTGTGTATATATATATCTAACTTTATTTTAAAATTTCATTACACAAAGAGGGTAATGCACAACCTGAAGCCCAAGTGAAACCCAGGAGCCCGACCAGTTGTGTAACCTCAAGCCTAGCATGAACGAACCATACAAACAACCTCTGGATTACAACCATGCACGAACCGAAGCCTGACCATGCACAACCCACAGCCCAAGTGACACCCCCGGAGCCCGACCAGTTATTTAACCGGAGCCCGACCAGTTATTTAACCGGAGCCCGACCAGTTATTTAACCGGAGCCCGACCAGTTGTGTAACCGAAGCTCGACCAGTTGTGTAACCGAAGCTCGACCAGTTGTGTAACCAGACCCCGACCAATTGTGTAACCGTAAGCCTAGCAAGTATACATCTCATCCAACCCCCACCAAGCTAAACAGTCCCAAAGCACAACCAAACTCCATTATTAGCTCGACCGAACAAAAATCTTCTTAGTGTTACCCCTCCACTTGCCCTAGAAACCAGCTATGGAGCCATATCAAACAATTGAACTATATACAAAAAAAAAGAAATTAGAATTTTTAGCAAACATATAAACATAGAGCTCTCGCAAACAAACCTGGAGCACTAGTACACAAACAACCACTGGAGCACAACCATGTACGAACCGGAGCACAACCATGTACGAACCGGAGTACAACCATGCACAACCCAAAGCCCAACAAGTCACACCCCTGGTGTTATGTAATCTGAACCCGACAAGTTGTGAAAAAGGAGCCCGACCAGTTGTCTAAACGCAAGCCTAGCATGAACGAACCATACAAACAACCTCTGGATTACAACCATGCACGAACGGAAGCCCGACTATGCACAACCCAAGGCCCAAATTACACCCCCGGAGCCCGACCAGTTATTTAACCGGAGCCCGACCAGTTATTTAACCGGAGCCCGACCAGCTATTTAACCGGAGCCCGACCAGTTGTGTAACCAGAGCCCCACCAGTTCTGTAACCGGACCCCGACCAGTTGTGTAACCAAAGCTCGACCAGTTGTGTAACCGTACCCCGACTAGTTGTCTAACCTTAAGCCTAGCAAGTATACATCTCATCCAACCCCCACAAAGCTAAACAGTCCCAGAGCACAACCAAACTCCATTCCTAGCTCGACCAAACAATTTAACTATAAACAAAAAAAGAAACCCAGATTTCTAGCAAACATATAAACAGAGCCTTAGCAAACAAACCTGGAGCACTAGTACACAAACAACCGCTGAAGCACAACCATGCACGAACCGAAGCCTGACCATGCACAACCCACAGCCCAAGTGACACCCCCGGAGCCCGACCAGTTATTTAACCGGAGCCCGACCAGTTATTTAACCGGAGCCCGACCAGTTATTTAACCGGAGCCCGACCAGTTGTGTAACCGAAGCTCGACCAGTTGTGAAACCAGACCCCGAACAATTGTGTAACCGTAAGCCTAGCAAGTATACATCTCATCCAACCCCCACCAAACTAAACAGTCCCAAAGCACAACCAAACTCCATTCCTAGCTCGACCAAACAAAAATCTTCTTAGTGCTACCTAAAACCCTCCACTTGCCCTAGAAACCAACTATGGAGCCATATCAAACAATTAAACTATATACAAAAACAAAAAATCTAATTTCTAGTAAACATATAAACAGAGCCTTCGCAAACAAACCTGGAGCACTAGTACACAAACAACCACTGAAGTACAACCATGGACGAACCGGAGCACAACCATGTACGAACCGGAGCACAACCATGCACAACCCAAAGTCCAACGTCACACCCCTGGTGTTATGTAATCTGAACCCGACAAGTTGTGAAACAGGAGCCCGACCAGTTGTATAAACGCAAGCCTAGCATGAACGAACCATACAAACAACCTCTGGATTACAACCATGCACGAACGGAAGCCCGACTATGCACAACCCAAGGCCCAAATTACACCCCCGGAGCCCGACCAGTTATTTAACCGGAGCCCGACCAGTTATTTAACCGGAGCCCGACCAGCTATTTAACCGGAGCCCGACCAGTTGTGTAACCAGAGCCCCACCAGTTGTGTAACCGGACCCCGACCAGTTGTGTAACCAAAGCTCGACCAGTTGTGTAGCCGTACCCCGACTAGTTGTCTAACCTTAAGCCTAGCAAGTATACATCTCATCCAACCCCCACAAAGCTAAACAGTCCCAGAGCACAACCAAACTCCATTCCTAGCTCGACCAAACAATTTAACTATAAACAAGAAAAGAAACCCGGATTTCTAGCAAACATATAAACATAGAGCCTTAGCAAACAAACCTGGAGCACTAGTACACAAACAACCTCTGAAGCACAACCATGCACGAACCGAAGCCTGACCATGCACAACCCACAGCCCAAGTGACACCCCGGAGCCCGACCAGTTATTTAACCGGAGCCCGACCAGTTATTTAACCGGAGCCCGACCAGTTATTTAACCGGAGCCCGACCAGTTATGTAACCGGAGCCCGACCAGTTGTGTAACCGAAGCTCGACCAGTTGTGTAACCAGACCCCGACCAATTGTGTAACCGTAAGCCTAGCAAGTATACATCTCATCCAACCCCCACCAAGCTAAACAGTCCCAAAGCACAACCAAACTCCATTCCTAGCTCGACCGAACAAAAATCTTCTTAGTGCTACCTAAAACCCTCCACTTGCCCTAGAAACCAGCTATGGAGCCATATCAAACAATTGAACTATATACAAAAAAAAAAAATTAGAATTTCTAGCAAACATATAAACAGAGCTCTCGCAAACAAACCTGGAGCACTAGTACACAAACAACCACTGGAGCACAACCATGTACGAACCGGAGCACAACCATGTACGAACCGGAGTACAACCATGCACAACCCAAAGCCCAACAAGTCACACCCCTGGTGTTATGTAATCTGAACCCGACAAGTTGTGAAAAAGGAGCCCGACCAGTTGTCTAAACGCAAGCCTAGCATGAACGAACCATACAAACAACCTCTGGATTACAACCATGCACGAACGGAAGCCCGACTATGCACAACCCAAGGCCCAAATTACACCCCCGGAGCCCGACCAGTTATTTAACCGGAGCCCGACCAGTTATTTAACCGGAGCCCGACCAGCTATTTAACCGGAGCCCGACCAGTTGTGTAACCAGAGCCCCACCAGTTGTGTAACCGGACCCCGACCAGTTGTGTAACCAAAGCTCGACCAGTTGTGTAACCGTACCCCGACTAGTTGTCTAACCTTAAGCCTAGCAAGTATACATCTCATCCAACCCCCACAAAGCTAAACAGTCCCAGAGCACAACCAAACTCCATTCCTAGCTCGACCAAACAATTTAACTATAAACAAGAAAAGAAACCCAGATTTCTAGCAAACATATAAACAGAGCCTTAGCAAACAAACCTGGAGCACTAGTACACAAACAACCGCTGAAGCACAACCATGCACGAACCGAAGCCTGACCATGCACAACCCACAGCCCAAGTGACACCCCCGGAGCCCGACCAGTTATTTAACCGGAGCCCGACCAGTTATTTAACCGGAGCCCGACCAGTTATTTAACCGGAGCCCGACCAGTTGTGTAACCGAAGCTCGACCAGTTGTGAAACCAGACCCCGAACAATTGTGTAACCGTAAGCCTAGCAAGTATACATCTCATCCAACCCCCACCAAACTAAACAGTCCCAAAGCACAACCAAACTCCATTCCTAGCTCGACCAAACAAAAATCTTCTTAGTGCTACCTAAAACCCTCCACTTGCCCTAGAAACCAACTATGGAGCCATATCAAACAATTAAACTATATACAAAAACAAAAAATCTAATTTCTAGTAAACATATAAACAGAGCCTTCGCAAACAAACCTGGAGCACTAGTACACAAACAACCACTGAAGTACAACCATGGACGAACCGGAGCACAACCATGTACGAACCGGAGCACAACCATGCACAACCCAAAGTCCAACGTCACACCCCTGGTGTTATGTAATCTGAACCCGACAAGTTGTGAAACAGGAGCCCGACCAGTTGTATAAACGCAAGCCTAGCATGAACGAACCATACAAACAACCTCTGGATTACAACCATGCACGAACGGAAGCCCGACTATGCACAACCCAAGGCCCAAATTACACCCCCGGAGCCCGACCAGTTATTTAACCGGAGCCCGACCAGTTATTTAACCGGAGCCCGACCAGCTATTTAACCGGAGCCCGACCAGTTGTGTAACCAGAGCCCCACCAGTTGTGTAACCGGACCCCGACCAGTTGTGTAACCAAAGCTCGACCAGTTGTGTAGCCGTACCCCGACTAGTTGTCTAACCTTAAGCCTAGCAAGTATACATCTCATCCAACCCCCACAAAGCTAAACAGTCCCAGAGCACAACCAAACTCCATTCCTAGCTCGACCAAACAATTTAACTATAAACAAGAAAAGAAACCCGGATTTCTAGCAAACATATAAACATAGAGCCTTAGCAAACAAACCTGGAGCACTAGTACACAAACAACCGCTGAAGCACAACCATGCACGAACCGAAGCCTGACCATGCACAACCCACAGCCCAAGTGACACCCCCGGAGCCCGACCAGTTATTTAACCGGAGCCCGACCAGTTATTTAACCGGAGCCCGACCAGTTATTTAACCG